GTATGTACATAGAAGAAATGTTTGTGTGATCATCAAGCATTGATCTCTGAGTTGCATTGGTGCTCTCTGCTACAGCTTCTTCTTCCCCAAAACATGCTTGAGCAAGTTGTTGTTTTACCAAGTCTTTGTCCTTCTTCTATCTTCTCATGCTCTGTTGTTGTTCCAGGAGGAGGAGAAGATTCGTCGTGTTCTTCGCTATGTCTCTCTGTTCCATGTGTCTCAAAGTTTGGACATGTCCCGTCGTTGCATGTACACATTGGGATGTTGACTGAAGGGAATGGGCTACATGTTACCGGACAGAACATATCTGATGAAACTGCAGCAGCACGGGTTTTGCTACGTTGCTCTGTGGTTGGACATGTCGGTGACGAGTGATCTGTTGTGTCTCCTGTGTGAAGCATACACGGTGCGCAGAACCCGAGTGACATAGGCAACTTCATTTCTTTGGTCAGTGAGCTCGGGAGTCGTTTAAACGAGACTATTCCATGTCTGCAAAGAGGGCAAGGAATTGACCCGGGCGGGCCAACTGTTACTGAAGGAACATTGCTCGATGAGCAAAGGTATAGCGCGCATCTCACGCATAGCTGATGCTCACAACCTGAAACACAAAACCCGCGACTTTCGCTTTAAGTTAAAAGGACATCAATGTAAAACTTTAGAAGGACATAACAATATTTAGACCGACCTTCAGCAGCAATGGTGCATGGTCTTTCCAGACAAACCGCACAGATATCGACCTCATCTGTGATGGTTGCGGACTGCAACCCAAACTCTCTGCAAGCAAATAGTCAACACCAGAGTCATATTGAGGCCATAGTCGTCAGAGTTTGGTCCTAAATAGTCGATGAAGGTTTTGCCATTACCTTGCAATGTTGAGTATACTCAAAAGGGGCAGTGATAAGTAGTTAGAATGAGGAAACCCTGGAATGACCACATCCGAATTTGGAGAAAGTAGCGGTTCTAACCAATGACGACTCCACATCCGTGCTATGTCAATAGGTAGCCACCTACAAACATATTTTTGAAAAGGAAAGTTTCCATTCTAACAACGTCAAATATTTCCCCGAAACTGGTTTTAAACACAAAAGAAACCATTAATAGATTGTGATTTACCCATTGCAGTTTAATGTCATCCTTCTTGCACCTCTTGCAAGGAGAATCTATTGAGAAAAAAAGAGCAGATTCTCACAAACTATCTATCTGTCTCCAAAAAACCGAGAAAGAAAAGAATAAAGTTACTAGTGTTCTTACCTGACAACATTTCAGATTCCCACCACAAGCAGCATAATGCAAAGGCGTGCTTCCAGCTCCTGAAAATGGCAATTAAGACCATCTTGAGAGCAGAATAAAAAGAATATCTTAGCCATTTTGGAAGCGGATAGATAACTCATACCAATCATATCCATTGATGTTCCATAATGAAATGTTACAGCAGAAACATTCGCTTCAAGATCAAGCAAAAGCTGCACACAGTCAAATAATCCATTCAAGGCAGCCATGTGAAGAGCCGTGATTCCACCGTCAGCCGCTTTATTCACAAATTTAGACAATGCACTGCACCAGAAGACAATTTCTTTTGTTGGAACTATATAAATCAAAATCAAACCTTTACAAAACACAGAAGATGGTCCCAAAAAAAAAAAGGAAACCTTTGCTCGGATTTGCTCCTCGCTGTGACCGCCGCACCAGTCTCAGGAAGAGAGTTTAGTTTCTCACTAGGTACAAAGTCAGCCAAAACAAGTCTAATACATCTAGCGTGACCATTCACAGCAGCGAAATGAAGCGCTGTTCTTCCAGCTAAATAATCAGCTCTTGTAACCTTGAAAGAGAAAGATTAAAAGACGATTATTAAGAAACAAAATCTGAATCCAAATTGTAAACTTTTCTCTCAACTAGTGATG